GTCATCTGCAAACTTGCTGAGGGTGCACTCTATGACATCTTGCAGGTCATTGATGAAGACATTAAACAAAACCAGCTCCAGGACTGACCCCTACAGCACTTCACTTGATACCAGCTGCCAACTAGACAAACCATGGTGGAATTCAGTATTATTTTACTGTTAGCTAAATAATTGTATTTTTTAGCACTTTCCACCTGTTTCAAACTGGAAGTAAAAGTGGCAAAGTGTTCTTTATCCTGTTACAGATGAGGAAACTATTCCATGAATAACTAAGCTTAACTATGACCTATTTTCTTTAAATATATGTGGCAAATCACTTTTCAAGTAAATTTATAAAGCAAGTTTGAAAGGATATTAACAAACCATTTGGGCTCATGGCAAAATTAAAAATGGTTTGCTTACCTCTATGTAGATACCTGCTGGTTTGCTAGTCCACTACTGATGAGTTTCCTGCCTTTGATCTAAGCTTCAGAAATTCCTCTTGTAATTTTCCCCAAACTTGCTTGCCAGCTCCCACTGCTGGCATTGTGACACATATTTGGCCTCCAGGTACACTGCCATAGCTGAGGGAATATAAAAGAACTATAGAACAAGTTAGAAAAGAGCAAAGAAATAGCCAGGCAGGACAAAAAAAATTAAAAAAACAATTAATCAAGTACCATGTTCTGATAATTTTCCTCTCTCTCCATTTAGATCCTTATCTATCAGAGCAAAAACAATCTCTTCTTTCTAGAAGAATAAATTTCAGATTCAGCCAGTACAGGTAGTTTCTGACAGAGCAGTAGGTACTCACTAAGAGAAAATGAAATTAGTGTCAAGAAAAACTAATTTAAATTTTCTCCTGCATGGGTACCCACCAACCTGTCCATCTACTTACAGGAAGTGACAAAGAGTAGAATAATAGGAGGGTGACAAAATAAATAACAACTGTCATCCTGTTCCTGCCTTAGTTCATTATGGAAGAATAAAAAAGAAAGATGGGAGGACTCTCCACCTGAAATCTTTGTCACATAAACCTAGTACATCTTCCATATCCTCTCTTTCCAAGGACTCATAGCTGACCAAGCTGTGGAGATGGGATAAGCATAGTTCCACCTACATCACAAACAAATTTCCCTGTATTCCCTTTTCTACCTTTAACTGAAAGAATCTCAATTTGAAAAGGAAAACTCCCTCAAATATTAACCAAGATATTAGTTGTAATGGTGAAGACTTCAAAGAGGTTCCAAGTCTCTGACAGTAGATATAGAGGGGCATGGAAAGGGGAGTTGGTGAATGAGAACCCACAGTTATTAAAGAGATACTTGGGAGGT